TGTTAGCTTTTAGAAGCCCCTGATCTGTGTGTTCATCTAGGGACTACTTATACAGTCTCCACAAGCTCTGGTTTTGGTTTCTGATAGATGCAATTATCTTTATTTTTTGTTTATGCTAAAACATAAAAAAAGTATTAGCTTGCTCTATTAGAACATTTTTGAGTATCAAAATTAAGCTTAGCCTGCTGCTGGCTCATAATGCTGATTAATCGCCAAATGTTTCATTGGCAAATCCACTGTCATCTCTCATCTCATGTTGTGGAAAAGACATAGCAATTCATGGTACTTACTCTTTGCTGCTCTAGATCATTATTGCTGTGCTAGGAGACCAGTCTTCTAAAGTACTCAGTAAGTACATGAACTAAGTTAAGTATCTGGGGATTTTTGGTTCTAGAATTCAATAGAGACTGGAATCTCAGGTGGAAGAGGTCCCTGACAGTAACAATTTGAGGGGTTGTCTTTCCTTTGAAAGATTCTTCTACAATGGCCTGGGATCACTAATCAAATATTTCCTGGGGTTGTTATTGAAACTTAGCGGTAGAGTACTTACCTAGAATGCAAAAAAGAAAAACAAAGAAAAAAAAAAGGAGAAAAAAAAAAAGCCACAACAAATTCTGTATCACACAAAGTGACATCTAATTAGTCAAAGTAAAAATCTCTTCCATTCATCAGAATGGCCAGGAAGGAACCGGGGAGACAGTCAGTAGGGAAAAGTGCTGGCCCTGCCAAACATGAGGACCTGAGTTTGGATTCCTAGAGCTCACTGGTCAGCCAGCTTCGCCTTATTAAATCAGCAAAATCCAGGTTCAGTGAGAGACCTTGTCTTAAAAAAATACGATGGAATGTGACTGAGGAAGATACCTATGTTAACCTCTGGACCCCAATACATGTGTGCACACAACCAAGTATATGGAAACACACACATACACTCGAGCACAAACATACACCAGTGACCACTAGAAAACTATTCCTTTTTGGTCTTTTGAGACAAGGCTTCAGTAGGCTAGCCTTAAACTTATATGCAGTTCATGAACTCATAATCTCCCTGCCTCAATTTCACAAGCGCTGAGAATACAGGGTGGGTCACCACACCCATCTATCAGTATTTTGCTTTTTTCTTTTTGAGACAGGGTCTGTAGCTCAGGCTTGCCTCAAACTCCCTATGAAGCCAAGAATGACCTTGGATTTTTGATCCTTCTGCCTCTACTTTGGAGAGCTGAGATTACAGGCATGCAGTACTGGTGACTGAACCCAGTTCTTCCAGCTTTCTAGCAGGCATGCTACCAACTAAGCTATATTCCCTACCCAGTATTTTCTGTTTTCTTCACCATGTACATTTCTGCAACAAAACTGTATTCATTCCTCTTAAATTTCTCAAAACAACACAATTTTGTGACACTCCTTCAATTTTAAAATTATTGTCACTAATGTTTAGAGACAGGGTCTCAATATGTAGCCCTGGATGGCCTCAAGGTTGATTTGTAGGCCACGTTGGCTTTGAAATCACAAAGATCCATTTGTTTCTCCCTCCCAAGTGCTGGAATTAAAGGTGTGCTCCACCACACTAGTTTTAATTTGTTCTGGATTATGAAGTAGTGAAAAAAAACTAAATTAAATCCATGGGTTTACCATCTAGTTTATATAGTTGCACAATTTAAGAAGCAATGTGGAATATCTTATCTCATTTGATTTGTATCTTTCAACAGCCCTGTAAGGGAGATACAAAAAGCAAGTTTCAAATGGCACGATCATAAACGTGTGACCTACAGATGACATTAGTATGGCACTCCTGCTTTATACAGTAGGAAATGGAGAAGACCAAGAATTCTTGGCATTACTATACTCTTCTGGTTTGGTCTTTGCATGAGCTACCTTTGTGCAGAAAAAGGCTGTTCTGTGAATGCAAACTCCTACCCAGCCTCCAAAAACATTTACCCTGAGGAATGAGACATGCTCTCTATTTGCAATACAAACACATCTTCAGAAATGTTGAAAATTCAGATGAAGGGCCAAAAAGATGGTATGAACAAAAAGTGCAAAGGACAGGGCAGTCACAATTTTTCTCACCCTTCACTAACAACTGATGATCACTAAGAGAGAAATTATCTAAAAGAACTTTATACCTTCTATGGACCTAGGAGTTATTACACAACAGGAGAAAACTGATGTAAAAGGCTGCCAAGTAGGGAGCCCAGTCTTCTTTATTGAAGCCAAACTGTCTCTAAATATAAGGTCCTCCATCCGGTCCCCTTTATCTTCTAGAAAATACATTATCACCAAGGAAATTTTCTCTTAACTTACCCTAGATTAACTATGTGATGAAGTCACTGAATTTACATTTATTGGTATGTTCACTTATCCAAACATGCATTTGTTGAGTATTTATGGAGCACTGACTACACACCAGGCACTAAACTTAGCAGACAGGACAAAAACAAGTAAACTAACACAGCCCCTGCTTTCAGAGCTCAGACTAGTGGCACTTCTATGTGTCCTTTTGGGAGTGTTGTGTTTCTGAGACTGTGTCTCAGTGTGTAACTCAGGCTGGCCTCAAATTCACTGTGTAGGCCCAAGTGGCTCAATCTTTTAATCCTTCCTGTTTCAGCTTCCCAAATCCTGGGGTTATGGTTACAAGCATGTGCCACTATGTCTACTTCCCAATTAGATTGTCTGCTCTCAATAAGAAATGAATAATTTTCTAAAACACTTTTACCAGCTTACACAATGAATTGATAAACTAAAAAGAGATCAGAGGCCCTGACACAATAATTTGCAACGTTTCCTTTTAATCCATCCCTCCAGAACAGCATAAGACTACATTATCACTTGGGAGGTGGAAGCAGCAGGATTGTGAATCCCAAAAACATGACAAAAAGAAAAGATTGACTTATTTACATTTGTAAGGGACAGAGCTTAGGACAGCAACAAGTTCAACAGTGTAACTCTATAGCTAAGGCAGCAAGATCAGAGAAGGCAGCTAGAGGAAGCCAGAAGGAATCTCAGTTCCAGGACTGACCCCCCTCTTATTGGGGCAGAGATTCAGGCAGGGTAGAGGCAAGGAAGGCCTTACCTGCAAAGTGCACTATCCCATAGGTGAACAAGCTGTTTTAACACCAGAGATTATAGGTACAAAGTACAAGGGAACAATTGACAAGCACCTAGGAGGGAAAGAAAGAGGAAAAGAGAGAGAGAGAGAGAGAGAGAGAGAGAGAGAGAGAGAGAGCGCAAAATGGTGTCTTACTCCTTCTAGATGGTGAGTCTATAAACCTCAGTTGACTGACAGGATGGGGCAACAAAAAGGACCAGGGATTCAGAATCGGAAGTCTTAGAGTTGAGACTAGATCCTGACACTCCTCAGGCACCAGACAAACCAGGAGTCCATTTAGTGTTCTCACCTGCAAAATGTGAATACTAACTTTTGATCAGTCTACCTCACAGAAACATTATTAGGTTCAAATAAGAAGAGTTCTAAAGAAAGCACTTAGGACCCTGGGATCTGAATCTGTGAAGTCATGCAAGCTCCTACAGGATCATATCATGTTAACCCAAAAGCCCTCACTGCCTTCTCATCCCTCAATACCCGGTTTCCATATGCTCACATCCCCAATTTAATAGAAATTTGTGACACCCAAATCTTAATCCCCCTACTCCAAAAGGACACTAAGGGCAGACAGGCAAGCACCCTTTACCTCCTTGCCCCGACAGCTTCAGTTATCCTTTCCCAGGGGCAAATTACAGAAGACCACAACGGAAAGGGAAGGGAGATGCCAAGTAGCCACATTGCCTTTGTGGTTGCCTCCCCTTCCCCACTGCAAGACACTTTCCCTCACAAGTACTACTAAACAGATTTAACCGGGACTGTGAGGCAATACAGTGGTAGTATTGAGGAGATTATTATATGCCACATTCCACAATCAAAATGAAATTACTATTAGCATGTTTAACCAAGGGATAACTGACCCAGAAAGAACAACTGCTGACTTACTGATTTTCCTCCCTTCCTCATAAATACTATTTTTTTCATTTGACTGTTATCATCCAACCACTTACCTACCTATCCAGTTAGGATGTATGGAATATCCACAAAACACGCCCCCTTAGAGGATTTTTAAGGCAGAAGAGTTGAAGAGGAGAAGGGGAAGAAACGACAAGACAGATACCTACCAAAGTTGTGCCAACCCTTTGGAGGACAGAACAATCCAGCTGCAATGTTGCCAATAACAGGGAAGGCAGCTCAAGCTCATGGGGGAAGGGGCATCATGTGCCTCCAGCTGATTTCAAGGGCCTAAGAGCCAAACAACTCCTTCCGGCTTCAAGCAGAGGGAAGGCCTGTTTTGCAGAGTCAAGCTTATTAAGAACAGCTTGGCAAATTAAACCTCAAGCATCAGCCTGTTGGTAGTTCTCACTGTAAATGCTAAACCTGAAGAGGAAGAAATTGAATGTGGCCTCCCCATTTGGAGCTCTATCAACCACTGGTGAAAGTTCTGGTACGGACACAGGGTATTTCTGTCCCAACATTTCAAGCCAAAAGCATCTTCCTCGTTTTAAATGGGAACCACCCTACCACTTCATCCCGCCATTCCATAACAGTCAGCCTGATGGAGGCCCACAACCCTGCCAGTCACCCCCCTACCCTCCGCAAAAATCTTAAGCTAGTCCCCATTCACCCCTGTGGGTTCCCATGACCAGGCTTGGTCCAGGCTTGGAATCCCTAGGCTGGCAAGTTGAGGACCCAGAGCCAGCCTTACACCTGGTGTAAGGCAAAAGCACTGAAAGCATCTTCCCCTCCTCTCCATATCACTGCTTATTGGCTATAAACGACACAGAATTTGGAGATATGTTTTGGACATGGACACACACACAGAGGGACTATAAACATATACTGACAGTACCCACAGACTACCTTACCTAGCCCACAGCTCAGTTCAGTCAAAACACAACATCAACTCCCAGCCTTTTTAATAAGTGTTGGGAAAATCCCAAAGTATGTGCAAACTTACCTGTCTATACTATGGGGTAATCTTATGCTCATGGTTTCTCGGTGTCTTCACAGTTCCGGAATCTTGTAGCTTCTTTGGATGTCTTGATCAGGCCGGAATCCCTTAAGGTTTTTAAGGAAGGTGAGAGGAGGGCCTCCCAAGTTGAAGACTGAATCCTTTTTCTTCCAGTTGTCAGGACCCTGGTAACTGCAGAACCAGTGTACGCCCGCCACTTAACATGTCTCCTCCTCTCTTGACTCTTTAGCCTCCCCTTCCCTTGTCTTAAAAAAGAAAATGGAAAAAAAAAATAAAGAAAAAGAAACCTTCTTAGAAATCAAAACGTCAACCACAAGTGTCTTTAAGGTTAGTACTATGGGCTAAAAAACCACAGAAAGAATGCGACTTCAAAATATCAGTCTTAACTGCAGACAGATAAAAATCATCCTCTCAATCCAGTTTTCCCAGCTGTCCTTCTGTTGACAAGGGAACCTTAAGCTCCAAAGGTTGAAAAATCTCTGTTTTCCAAATGCTTAAAATGCCAGGGAAGGAAAACAAAACAAAACAAAAAAGGCTGAACAAATCCGAAATGGCACTCGGGGAAAAAAAAAAAACCTTCCAGATGATTTGCACAGTTAAAATAAATAAAACCATACAGCAGTGTGTACACAGCACGGAGTCCAGTGGGGCCCTGGGAAGCAAAATTTGTGAATTTCTCAAAAATCAAAACAAAACGCCGATCTTTTACATTAAAGGCTTGGAATTCTGAAATGAGCCAATTGTGCAGACATACACACACAAAAAGAAAAAAAAAATCACAAAACACCTGAAGCGCAATGCTTTTTACCTTCAAAACGGTAGCATTGGCCAAAACCCCAGGAAATATTAAACGCTCTTTTCCGTTTCGACCTGCAGGTTCCTCCACCTAGCCCAGTCCAGTGCTCAGACCCAGCCTCGGGTCGGCCTTTTTCAGAGACAATTTCCTCAGTCAGCGCTGTGTGCTCCTGCACGTCCAGGCTCCGAAA